GTCTGCCCAGTTGGGGAACTCAGGAGCATCAGGAAACTTGGCACGCCAGGCGTCGCTAAGTCGAGCGAAGCAGCGCTGCTCAGTGTGAAAACCTGTGCACTGGCGACCAGTGCGGGGACCAGTGCGGATAATATAGGGGCAGCGACCAGGACCCCCAGAAACCCCACGCCTGGCATACCAGTCAAGAAGCTGCTGGGAAGTGGGGGTCTGGCGCTGACGCTGCTGCTGCTGCTGCTGCTGCGGCTGCTGCTGGCCCTGACCACCATTGCCACCACCACTCCCTCCTCCCCCACCGCCGCTGCTCCCCCCTGCACCGCTCACAGTGCCTCCGCCGCCCCCACCACCACCTCCACCACCTCCACCCCCACTACCACCCCCACCACCTCCACCTCCCCCGCCACCTGCACCACCGCCACCTCCACCGCCACCCCCACCGCCCCTGCCACCCCTGCCGCCCCTGCCGCTGCGACGCTTCCCTCTAGGAGCGGAAGCAGCTCCGACCTCCTCAGCACCAAGGTAGTCGTGAGCAGCAGCTGCGGATGCGTAGGAGGGGGTGAGAGGGGAGGGGGAGCACCCCTCAAAGAGGGGAGAGCGGGGAGTGCCACGAGCAGCACCTACAGCGAGGATGTTCTTCTCTGCTGCGAGGAGGTGCTTCTCGAAGTCGTCGACAGTGAGAGTGGTGGGGTCTAGCGCTAGGAAGTGGTCCCTGACAGAGCTAAGAGTGTCAGGGAGGCGGGTGACGAGGAAATGGAGAGTGAAGTACATCGGGGGGGGGTTTGCGGCGCAGAACTCGGCTGAAAGAGCGGCACGAAAGCGAGAGTCAGTAGCACGTAGGTGAGAAACTAGGTCCTCAGCAGTGGTGAACGAGGAAAGATCGGGGAACAGGTACGGTAGCATGAGTCGACCTATGGCTGCAGTGGCCGGGGAGGAGTAGCGCGCAACTACAGCGTCGTACAGTGTCTTAGCAGTTCTGTGCTGGCTGAAGTGCGCTCGCTCAGTAATCGGCAGGTGGTTCCTAATAGCTAGGCGTGCAGCAGCATCACGAGTCTGCCACTGGGAGAGTTCTAGAGCAGGAGCATCAGCAGCAGGAGCAACGGCAGTGCCAGAGACGTAATCAAACAGGGAAACGCCCTCTTTGGCATCAGTCAGAAGGAACAGCTGGAGATCGTCTAACCACACAGCGAACTCGAGGGGACGACCGTCAGGCTCGAATGCGAGAACGTTGGGCGTCGCCATATTGGCTTAAGGCAGGAGGCAGCAGGCAGCAGGCAGCAGGCAGCAGGCAGCAGGCAGCAGGCAGCAGACAGAGGCAGCAGGCACCAGGTAGGAGGCAGGTGGCAGGCAGGCGGTAGCAGGCAGCAAGCAGGCAGGCGGCAGCAGGCAGGAAGTAGCAGGCAGGCAGCAGGCAGGCAGCAGGCAGGTGGTAGGCAGGCTGCAGCAGGCAGGCAGTAGGCAGCAAGCAGCAGGCAGGCAGCAGGCAGGCAGCAGGCAGGCTGCAGGCAGGCGGCAGGCAGGCTGCAGCAGGCAGGCAGCAGGCAGCACGCAGCAGGCAGGCTGCAGGCAGGTGGCAGGCAGGAGCGGCTGCAGCAGGCAGCAGCAGGCAGCAGGCACCAGGCAGCAGCAGCAGGCAGCAGGCAGCAGCAGGCAGCAGCAGCAGGCAGGCAGCAGGCAGCAAGCAGCAGGCAGGCAGCAGGCAGGCTGCAGGCAGGTGGCAGGCAGGAGCGGCTGCAGCAGGCAGCAGCAGGCAGCAGGCAGCAGCAGCAGGCAGCAGCAGGCAGCAGCAGCAGGCAGGCAGCAGGCAGCAAGCAGCAGGCAGGCAGCAGGCAGGCAGCAGCAGGCAGCAGCAGGCAGCAGCAGGCAGCAGGCAGCAGCAGCAGGCAGCAGGCAGCAGCAGGCAGCAGGCAGCAGCAGGCAGCAGGCAGGCTGCAGGCAGGTTGCAGACAGGAGCGGCTGCGGGCAGCAGGCAGCAGCAGCAGCAGGCAGCAGGCAGGAGCAGCAGGCGGCTTGCTGCGCTAAGCTGCAGGCTGCGCGCGTGGCTGCGGGCAGCGCGCGCGACCGCAGGCTGCGTGCGGCGACGGGCTGCGGGCCGCGAGCGGCTCCTGGCTACGCGTGGCGACGAGCTGCACGCGGCTCCTGGCTGCGCGTGGCGACGGGCTGCGCGTGACTGCGTGGCTGCGCGTGGCGACGGGCCTCGCGCGACTGCGGGCGGCGTGCGGCGGCGGGCTGCTCGGGCGTGGCCTAAACGGGCTGCGCTCGGGCGGCGTAAGTGGCGCGCGGGCTGGGCCTAAACGGGCCGCGCGAGCTGCGGAAGTGGCGCTCGGGCGGGGCCTAAACGGGCCGCGCGAGCTGCGTAAGAGGCATGCGCGGCAAAAAAAAAAAGGGCCGCGCGCGGGCAGCCGAGGCGCGCGCGGGCAGTAGGCAAGGCAGGTGAGGTGGGCCCTAATCCTAGGTCCTAAGGACCTACGCTCTAGATGCCATGTCGAAAGGCTAGGGATGGTTCAACTATCGAGAGTGTTGGTACAAGAGAAAAAATCTAAGGGGTTGTACCCCACAGTGAGTACCCCACTACAGCCTATCTAACTTAAACATATAAACATATGTTTGACAGCATGACCTGCGACAATCTGGCAAAAAAAACCTTCTCCCGCATATGTCCTCTTATGGGACAACTCCGTTGTAGTTGCAATCGGATTTTTTTGCTCTATCAATGTGTATTCACATATCAAAAGGAAAGTCGTGTGTCTATGCACATGCTATTACAAGCATCGTATTGTAAGATCATCTGGCATCCCCAGACCCCAATATTGTTTCACTCCCGTTGTTGAACCACATTGCACCACTAATGCATTCGTACCCATGGTAGAAACCCTAAAACTGAACTCAGAAGCTGTCCCCTGGCCTTTTGAACGCCAACGAAGCTTTTTCGCTCCCTCAATCCGCCACCATCCTTCTTGTCCTGACGTTTGTCAGGGTAGGAAGCATTACAGATGTCTCTCCTCAAATTCACAGGCTTTGACGGTATGGCACACGAAGTAGCATCGCATCTTGTTGCTTTCAGCGCGTCGTCCGACGTGAAGTCGCCTCCCGACATGTGCATTAATCTCCGGTTGTGCTCCGCATATCGCTGCTGCGCCTCGACGAGCTCAAGCGCGGCATGACGGATTCGCGACCGCGCGTCCTCCACCCACTCGGGGTCGCACGCGCGAGCGGCGTCGGCGCAGGAAAAGGCGTCTGACGTGGCCTGAAAAGAATCACGTGGATCGGTGCTCCAGAACCTAAACGAGCCTCCTGCGTCGTCTTCATCGTCGAAGGTTTCGTAGTGTGTGGAGCCTGTAACGGGTACAAATACCTCACCGCCGATTCGTCGAACATCAGTCGCGGAAACGCTTCTGCGAACGACCCGTTTATCGGCTTCCATGGTGACTACTAGTAGTATAGCAGTACGCAGAAACACCCGTGACGTAGAAACTCCGTAGTGGGGAGGGCGTGTGGCGATCGAGAATGTGGTAGCTCAAGAGGACAAAGCCACCGACAAATGGAAGAACTAATTCGCCTTCTGCACCTGTGAAACTGAAGCTGGCATCTGTCACCAAATAAGGATCACACTAAGTTGGCTGATGTTTAAAATGCTTGAAGCGTCGAGGAGAGGATGTGTGGTGTGGTGCGTTTTATTGGAGAAAAAGGTGAACGCGGAATTCATAAACCAGGGAAATGACCGCCAAAAGACACGGAATCCAAAAGACCGGTATTTATTTGGAGAGACCAAATGGACCAAAACTGAGGTGGCAACATAGGTGATGCGATGCGATAGCAGCCCTGATGCTGCAGCAGACCAGCCCAGGAAGAACAGGCGGAAATGAAACCAGAGGGCGAAGTGCCGAAGGTAGCGGAGAAAACGTTTGGGGCGGGTGCGGTGACGGGGAGGGGAGTGTGGGGGAGGGAGAACAGAGCGGAAGAAATGGGGGCCACCACGGCAGGTACAGTTTTGAAATGTAACGTCGGGCGAAGGGGGACCCCAGCCAATTTGGAGAGGTGCGCGAATGAGGTGAGGAGGAGAGATGGCGAATGGCGGTGAGGAGGGTTATTGGTCTCCGGCGGTGGGAGAAGGGTCAGAATTTGGCGTCGGAGCCAATTATATTAGAGGAAGCGGATACTGGTTTGGGGGTTGGCTGAATGAAAGTTGGAATTTCAGGGCGGATTCGGACTTCGGCTGAATGTGATGCGCCAGGAGGGTGGGGTGAGGTGGAGAGGAGGGGAAACCCGTTGAGCAGGTTGACGAAAGGGACCACAGAGTGCAGACACCCCCATTTCAGCACCCATCCACACCACCAGGGTTCACGCACGGCACCACACCACACCACACACAGCATGCAGGCTGCACGCCAAGGATTGTTATTGTAAAACACCCATTTCATCATCTATCTCGTTTATCCCAAAAGTGTTTCTTCCAACCAGGAACCCCTGAATCCGCCTGAATAAGTAAGGTTTATGTTGACAGTTCCGAAAGTTATGAAGAACGGCATGCCCACACAAAACTTTTATCAACCCTCTATAAAAATACGAGAGCCAAGATATTCGACGTTGACCAAATCTGGTCGCCACAGTAGTCTGTGGTTAACCAGATTCGGCTGAAACGTTTTCACTGTTGTTCCAAAAAGTCGAGTCTTGTGATTCGGTATCACTAGGACCGTCAACATATACTTTTCTCTTCCTAATTCGATTGGTTGAATCCTCTGAAGTGATCAGCATAGGCCCACCCGAAAGCAAGAACCCAACGTGGCGCATTAAATGCATCTAATGCGGCCAGCAGACGTTACTGTATTCCACTGTTTTCTCCCCGATAAAAAATCCGGCTGATTTGTAAGGAGCTGATGCATGTTAGAATGTACCTTTCCTTCAAAACAACTATCTTTAGTCTGCTGATTTCGACAAAAACCGTGTGGACGTGTTAATAAAGGGGAGCGGATACGTGGAAGAAGAAAAGGATGTGTTACAGGCCTATGGTAGAAATACCGCGAGGAGAAGGATGAAGGGGAGCCAAGAGTATCCCGGAGAGAGCACGAATGCGAGGGGGCCGAATGCGCCCACCATAAACCGGCATTGCTGCATGCACAGATGGGAGGAGGAACAGGAGAAGGATTTTGAGTCGACTCAAAAGTCAACAATGCAAGTAGGCAAAGGAGAGCAAAAAATGATGTAAAAGGAACATGAATGCAAGGAGGGCACCACCATGCCCTCCCAAGAACCCCCCTCACGCCCAAATTCCCTCTCAGGACCCGACAAACCGACTCAGACTCACCCAGAGGTACACGAGTAGGGGCAGAGGGGCAGCAGCAGCCACGAGTGCAAGCACCACCACCACCTGCCATGCTCTGATGGGCGACACACACCCCATGCCCCACTGCCGCCTGTCCCCCCTGCCCTCCTGCCCAGAACCTGCAGAGCTCAAACCTCCCCCACAGAACCTGATAAAACTGACTCAGACTCACCCGAAGGTACACGAGAATGGGCAGAGGGGCAGCAGCAGCCACGAGTGCAAGCACCACCACCACCTGCCATGCTCTGATGGGCGACCCACACCCCATGCCCCATTGCTGCCCCCTCGTCCCCCGCCCCTCCCACCAACACCCTCCCCCACACCTCATGTCCCTCTGCTGCCACCTCCTCCTGTCCCTCCTGCCCTTGCCAGCGAACGTAAAAGGGGAAGAGGGATTGGGAGATGCAGCAGCAGCTGTCGATGCAACAGCAGGAGGAGGAAGAGGAGGAGGAGGAGAAGGAGACCGGAGCCGGAGTGCTTCGGATGATGCAAGCCCTCCGTTTGATCCCCTTCGACGCAGCGCCTTCACCCCGTCGCCTCCTTCACTACCACTGCTACAGCCGCTACAGCTGCTGCTGCTGCTACTTCTGATAATGATGCCGTCAGCAGCAGCTGTATTGGCTGTAGCAGCTGCAGTGGCTGCTACAGCCTCCGCATGCAAATCCACGCTTGGTCCATCCTCATCACCCCCTCTTCCCCAGTGGCCTGCTTTTCCCGCTGCTCCCCCTTGCCTCTCCCCTCCCCGATCCACCAATGCTTGCCTCTCCTCCTCCTCCTCCTCCTTCTCTCCACCCCTCGCCCCCTCCCTTCCAAACACCACCCTCCCATCTCTCCCCTCCTCCTCTCTCTCTCCTTCTCTCCCCGTTTGCTTTGAAAAAGCCAGTTTCACCCAGCCAACGAGAGTGTGTGGGCCGCAGGGTGAGAGGAGGGCGGATCGGAGGAAGAGGAGGAGAGGGAGCACGAGAAACGCGGGGAGAGTGACAAAGACTAGAAATGGCTCAACTGTTGTGACTATGTCGGGAACAGCGAGGTTGGATGTGAGAGGGGAGTTGGAAAGAGATGGAAAGGAGGAGGAGGAGGAGGAGGAGGAGGAGGAGGAGGAGGAGGAGGAGGAGGAGGAGGAGGAGGAGGAGGAGGAGGAGGAGGAGGCGGAAGAGGAGGAGGGAGGAGGGATGGGTTCGCAGGGGGGGACAGCCCAGCCGTAGATCGAGAGAGATCCGACGGCGCAGGCCGGCCCGAGAGGGCGAGCCCAGAACCAGGGGAAGAGGCAGAGGTAGAGGAGGAGGAGCAGGGAGAGGGGCCAAGCGGTGGAGTGGGATGCAGCGAGGTAGATGTGTACTAAGAGACGTAGGAGGGCGAGGAGAGCGGAGGGGAGGGATTTGATGAGCGTGAGAAGAGAGAAGAGGATGGTGTGTAGAGGGAAGGTTGAGGGGGGGTGGTAGGGTGGAGGAGAAGGTGAGTGGGAGGTAAAGTGGGGGGTGGAATGGGGGGGTTGTCTGACTGTGGCTAGAGTGGTGGAAGGAGAATGAGAGGAGGCCTCGTGAGTGGCGTGAGTGGTGTGATTGCTGTGAGAGGAATGAGAAGAGTGAGAAGAGTGAGAGGAGGGAGAGAACTGGGAAGAGGGAGGGGGGATGAGGTATGACAAGGCCCGAGAGCCAAGAAGTATGAGGGCAAGGAAGAGGAGAGGAGAGGCAATAGCAAACACCCAGAGGTCCTCCCAGTCAGTTCCCATAATGGTGCGCTCCAGCCACGTGTGCTGGAATGGTACAGGGTGGTTGAATGCGGTGAAGGGCTGTGGGGGAGATGTGTACACTGATACACCAGCAGCAGCAGCAGCAGCAGCAGCAGCAGCAGCAGCATCTAACAGTGTTTCTTCAGCAGATGCAGCACCGGCATCATGTGCAAGAGGAGGAGGGGTGTGGTATGAAACCCGGACGGCAAGCCACAGGCGGGAGGAGGGAGAGAAGGGCGGGCGAGCGTATCTCGACGCGTCCCACGCCGCCCAGAAAAGCGGAGACGGCCGGCGATTGCCGTCCTCTTCACTCCCTCCCTTCTCCGCTTCCTCCCGACCCTGCTCCTCCTCACCCTCCCTCGTTAGAGTCACTTCTTCTACTATCTCCATTTCAACCTCCTTTCCACTGCCCGTGCTGCTACCGGTGCTACTGCCCTCTGCACCGCTCTCCCCTCTAAGTTCCACTCGCACTCCTTGCACGCTGCTCCCCTTGCCGCCCATGCCAAACATGCCGCCCAGGATGCCGCCCATGATGCCGCCCGGTTCCCGCTCGAGATAGACAACGGCAGACACGTTCAGGATGGGCGGGAGGGAAAAGACAAGCGCTCGAATCTCACCCCCCGCCACCCACGCTGCCACCTGCTCTCCCTGCTCCCCTCCCGCTTCTGCTCCTGCGCTCTTGGGCTGTGATTGTGGCAGGAAGTGAGCGTTGGGCGGGCATGTGAGCAACACCACTGGTTGTTGGGCCAGCAGCATGGGGCCTGGGGTGACAGGGCAGAAGAGAGTAGAGGGTGGGGGTACGAGTTAGAAAGTGGTGGGAGTGTGTGTTGGGCAGGCACATGAGCAGCACCACTGGTTGCCGTGCCAGCAGCATGGGGCCTGCCAAGGGTAAAAGGGTGAAAAGACAACGGCAGACACGTTTAGGATGGGCGGAAGGGAGAAGACAAGCGCTCGGATCTCACCCCCCGCCACCCACGCTGCCACCTGCTCTCCCTCTCACTTCTCCTGTTCTCTTTACGGCAGGAAGTGTGCATTGGGGGGGCATGTGAGCAGCACCACTGGTTGCTGAGACAGCAGCATCAGGCCTGGTGAGAGAAGGGCAGCAGAGAGGAGGGAAGAAGGGGAACAGAGAGGAGGGAAGAAGGGGAGCAGAGAGGAGGGAAGAAGGGGAGCAGAGAGGAGGGAAGAAGGGCAGCAGAGAGGAGGGAAGAAGGGGAGCAAGGGCAGGATTTTAGCGGTAGACACGAGGGAAACATGTGGGCAGCACCACTGGCTGCTGTGCCAGCAGCATGGGGCCTGTCAGGGGTGAAAGAGCGAGGTGGTGGGGGGGGGGGAGGGAGAAGGCACCCGGTATCCCAAGGGTCACCTTGACTCATTGTTCAACTACTGCAGCCCTTCGAACAATGAGTCAAGCTGCTGTGCCAGCAGCATTGGGCCTGTCAGGGGTGAAAGAGCGAGGTGGTGGGGGGGGGGGGGGAGAAGGCACCTGGTATCCCAAGGGTCACCTTGACTCATTGTTCAACTACTGCAGCCCTTCGAACAATGAGTCAAGCTGCTGTGCCAGCAGCATGGGGCCTGTCAGGGGTGAAAGAGCGAGGTGGGGGGGGGGGGGGAGAGAAGGCACCCTCGCTGCCACCTGCTCCCCCTCTCCCTTCTCCTGCTGTGCCAGCAGCATGGGGTCTGTCAGGGGTAAAAGAGCGAGGTGGGGGGGGGGGGGGGGGGGGATGGTTGGGGTGCGAGAGTGGGCTTCAAGTCAGGCCCGGCAGAAAGGGGAGAATGGTTGGGCCGCTCAAGTGCATGCCAGGCATCTGGTCATGGGCCATGTTGCGAACCACTCAGAGCAACACCTATGCAGATCTGGCTTGGAGGGAGTCACTGCCTCTCCTCAGCCACCTGGTGTGATGGGGTTCTCCTGTGTTTGGGGCGAGAGTGGGACTCAGCAGCTGAAAGTCGCTCAAGTGCATGCCAGACAGCGGGTCAGCGACTTTCATGGCCCATGGGACCAGACAGCGGGTCACGGGCCATGTTGTGAACCACACAGCGGGTCATGATGCGACCCACACAGTGGATCACGGGCCATGATGCGACCCACACAGCGGGTCACGGGCCATGATGCGACCCACACAGTGGATCACGGGCCATGATGCGACCCACACAGCGGGTCACGGGCCATGATGCGACCCACAAAGCGGGTCACGGGCCATGGTGCGACCCACACAGCGGGTCACGGGCCATGATGCGACCCACACAGCGGGTCACGGGCCATGATGCGACCCACACAGCGGTTCATGGGCCATGATGGTACCATACCATGGCAGCAAAGGCAAGGCCTTACCTGGTGTGACGGGGTCTGCTGCGTTTGGGGCAAGAGAGGGAGTCAGTAGCTGCAGGTCCGTGAATTGCAAACCAAACAGCAGGTCATGGGCCATGGGCCCATGAAGCCATGAGGCCAGACAGCGGGTCATGGGCCATGATGGTACCATACCCTTGTTAGAACTTGAGCTTAGAATCCATACATTAGTAATAAGCTCAAGGCTCTTTAACTACATCGGAAATGGGCAAGGTAAAGATGGGGAGACAATCGAGGGCAATCCTAGGGGATTAGGGGTAATCCCAAGGCAATTTCCAATTGGTGGGTTGGAGATTGCTTGGAGATCACATTTGGGTTTGGTTGGGATGTGGGTGTGCACCCAACCAAACACAAAGTGCACACTACACTAGGATATAAAAGTGCAAGTACAAAATGTGAGATTGAGGGCTAACACTAACAACCCTGGCAGCAAAGGCCTTCCATGGTGTGCCGTACGCAGCAAAGGCCTTACATGCTGTGCCGCAAGCAGCACTGATGGGGAAGGGAACGCATGCAACTGCCTACTCGGGGTAGCTCACTCCTCACTGAAGCTGCTCACCCAGTGTGACGGGGTCGGCCGTGTTTGGGGCGAGAGTGGGATTTAATAGTTGAAAGTCTGTGAATTGAAGGCCAGTCACCGGGTCATGGGCTATCATGGTACCATGGCAGCAAAGGCCTCACCCGGTGTGACGGGCTCTCCCGTGTTTGGGGCGAGAGTGGGATTTAAAAGCTGCAAGTCAGTGAACTGCAAGCCAGTCACCGGGTCATGGGCCATGACATGAAGCGAATCACTCAGGGCAACATCTATGCAGGTGTGGCTGGCACTCGCTGCCTCTCCTCACCCGGTGTGACGGGCTCTCCCGTGTTTGGGGCGAGAGTGGGACTCAATAGTTGCAAGTCGGTGAACTGCAGGCCAGTCACCGGGTCATGGGCCATGATGCGCACCACTCTGCTGCTGCGCCAGTCACCCACCTCCCACTCCCACAACCCCGCTCCACCGCTCTCCACTCCTGCTCCACCACCACTTGCTACTCCTTCCCTTCCAGGCCCCCCCACCTCCTCTGCACTGCGTCTTTCTTCCCCACTCTCTGTCCTTTCCCCGCCTGCCCTTCCACCCAGCTGCCGCCCCCTCCTATCCTCCCCCTCCCCCTCGCTTTTGCCTCCACCTCTCACGGCGTGCCACCTGTACAAGTGCCGCCCGAACGTCCAGTGCAGATGCCCATTCACAAGCACCATGCGGTTCACAGCACCATGCACTGCTGCTGATGATGATGCTGCTGCTGCTGCCGCTGCTGCTGATGCTGCTGCTGCTGCTGCATGCCTCAACAGTACATCATGCATGCGACGCGGAGATGCAGCAGGGGAGAAGAAACCAGAGGAGGAGGAGGAGGAGGAGGAAAGTCTTTGAAAGGAGGAAGAGGGGGAGAAAGAGGATGGGGAGGAGGGGAAAGAGGATGGGGAGGAGGGCTCGTGAGTGGTGAAAGCGAGAGGGTAGTGCGAGAACACAACAGCAGGGCCGGGGGCTGAGGATAATCCCTGTGCTGACGTGTTCCATGAGGGTGACGTGGCAGGGGCGGCTGGAAAAGCTGACGTGGCGGCCTCCCATTGGCTGAGAGCGGCATCGAGTGCATCCAGGTCAGACGTGGTGGGATGGCCGAAGAAATTGGAGGGTCCTCGTATGCCCACGCGGGGAGCAATGTCGATTCCTAGCAGGAGGATGGGCGGGGATAGGGATGCTGGGGGCACAGCACACAGGGAAAAGGGAGGGGCCAGGGAGGTGCAAAACGGTGGGGTGGTATGTAGTGAGCTAAGGTCCTGGAAGTTAGAAGTTGGAGGGTCCTCTGATGCCCACGCCGGGCGCAATGTCGACTCAAAAACAGGCCTAGCAGGAGGATGGGCGGGGATGGAGATGCTGGGGCAAAGGGGGAGCGATAGAGGGCAAGAGGGGTAAGAGAGGCACGATATGAGAGAGGCAGTTGGAATCTGGCGGGTCCTGTGATACCCATGTGGGGCACAATGTCGATGCCTAGCAGGAGAATGGGCGTGGATGAGGATGGTGGGAGACAAGAGAGAGCGGAGGGAAGGGAAGGGCAAGGCAGTGGGATGGGGTGGTGTGGGGTGGTGTGGTGTGAGCAACAATGTTGGAAGTTGGAAGGTCCCTTGTGCCCACTCAGAATGCCACTACACTACAAACCGAGTCTCACCACTTCTCACCTTTCCCCGAGTCTCCCTCAAATGGCCGCAGCACCAGCCCCTGCACACCCCACCTCCCGCACTGCGCACTAACACTCTGCCGCCCAAAAAAATCCCCCTTGCCGCCTCGAATCGGCACACTGAACGCGTCATGATTACCCCTCAGATCCAGCACCCGAGGGAAGGGTACGCATGAGGAACGCCCCAGAAAAGGGGGGTCATTCTGAGTTTGTTCGGTTTGTTGGGATTGAGGGGTGAGGGAGAGCGGCGGGGAGGTGGGGAAAGGCGGGTGGGCGGCGTTGATTGCGGTGCTGATGGCGTGCATTGCTTGGGAGTATGCATGCCATTCTGACTCGTTCTGGGCCGTTGTTGTGCGCTGGCGGTTCTTTGACTCTAAAAGGGATGAAATGGGAGGGAAGGGGGAGGGAAGGGGGGGAAAGAGGACACAAGGCATGAGAGAACAACAGGGGTGTTTTAAAAATGATCAGGAGGGGGTAGAGAAGCTAAGAAACACGCATAAAACATGATGGGGCATAGTGAGGCATAGGCACGCACATGAAACCCAACCCCGTCAGCACGGATATGAAACAGTATCAGCGTTCACATGTAACCCACATCAGCACGCACAGATAACCCCGTCAGCACGCACATGTAACCCCGTCAGCATGCACAAGTAACCCCGTCAGTACGAACGCATGCACGCACCTGTGAGATCCCCAGACACTATAAGCGCAGCAGGCGCTATAACGCGGACAGCTGGCACGAGGTGCACGAGGAGATCATTGGCTCTTGACGGCACGTGCACGCTGACGTGGACGTCCGACAGATGCATCCACCACACCACTCCGCGACGAGCCTCGCCGCCCACCTCCTCCCATCTGAACCCGCCTGCTTGCCGTCCATCGTCAAAAACCTGCCGGCCATCCTGTTGCAGTAAACGCCGTCCACCACTCGGCTGCTGACCGTCTCGTCTTAGCGAATAACCTCTTAGCGAGTCTTCTCTAGGCGAGTTTCCTGTTATTAATTCCTCAGCTCCTTCTCCCTGTAACAGCGGCGAAGCATACACGAGAGAGGCCGCCAAACAGAGAAGAAAATACGCAGCAGCTGTCATCGCTTCGCACTTTAAAGTCGCCACTATGTTAGATCATCTCACGTGTTCGCACACGTGCAGGCTGCAAACTAGCGGGAGAGACGAAGCTGGGATCTATCTGCCACGCATAGCACGCAAGTAGCGCGCAACACGTAACCAGTTGCCCTAAACAAACTGGAAACGCACTAAACTTCGCTGGGAGCGAGCAGATGTGTAGATAAACTGTCAGGATAAATATGTTCAAGAGGGATGCGCCTCGGGAACACCACACCACCAGAGCGCGAGGTGCTTGGCGGGAATTTCAAGGTAGGGTGCTCCGCTGCAAGCTAGATGCGATACAAACTACGTTCGGGTTAAATACCAGTATATGTCACAAGCGGAAAAATCATACTCACTCTGACCTTCCCAGTATTTCTGAATTAGCCCCAATGCATACATCATGGTTATCACCTTCTATATGGACACACTCGAGCAGGCCCATATAGCTAAGCTATAAAATAATGACTATTCTTACATCAGCCATCGTCAATACTACCACCAGTAATACCACCAACGTTTTCCGATATACTTCCTGCATTGACGGCTCCGTGGGAGACTGGTGTCTAGGTTGAGTTTAGGCTGAAAACCATTCTTCTTTCTTATTTCTAGGCTGGAAACCGTTCACCAAAAGTTTCAGGCCGGCCTGCCCGGGTTGTGATTCGTGTGTATCGTGGCCGTTGTTTGCTTCCCAGAAGGTTCTTAACCATGTCGACAACCCGCGGGACAGATGCCGCGAAGACAACGGTCAAGAGTAAATGCGTGAGTCGATTTTGCCCCTGCATGGAGAAGGCCCAAACAAAAACGTATCGGCAGGTAAATGAAACGTGCGCTTTGCTTGCATCCTTTCAAGAAAGAAAATGGCATAGATAAAATAAAGAAGGAAAGCTACCGTACTACAAACATAAAGGAGAGGTGTAACATAAGGAACGGTGAATACCTGAACACGATGAACAATCTCCCGAATCTCCTCAACATCTGCAATCTGTGCTGCTGCAAGCTCCTTCAGACTATCCCCCCCACTCTCCTCCGCACTCTCCCCCTTGCTCTCCCCTGCACTACTCTCCACCTCACTCCCAACCCCCCTGATCCCACCAATCCCCTTGCCAACAGCACTAGCCCCATCTTCACTTCCAATCACCAGCACAGAGTCTCTTCTCCCTGCACTCTCCCTCGCCACGTCAGCTCTCCTCCTCGACACATCGCGCGCCTGTCCTGCCACGTCATCAGTGTTGCTGACCCGTGGCGTGATTCCATTGGCCAGAGCATGGACGGATGACGTGGCAGCAGAGGCAGAGACATTGGTGGTGGTTGGGACTTGGGTGGGAGCAGAAGTGGCAGTGGCAGGGTTGCTTTTGGCAGTGGAGGAGGTGGAGGGGAGAGGACGGGAGGTAATGGAGGAAGAGGAGGATAGGGCTTGGTGGTGGTAAGGAGCAGATGCGATTGCTGCAGGGTCTCCTCCTCCCTGCAGGAAGCAATGTGATAGTGATGCGAAGGGGTGGGGGCGAGGAAGGAGAAGGGGAGAAAAAGAAAGAAGGAGGAAGGAGAGAGGAAGGGAAGGGGGAAACAGGAAGCGAAACATAATTGGCAGAAAGAAGCGAGATGGAAAAGGAACAGAAGAGGCAGGAAGAGGAGAGGAAGGGGATGAAGATTTAGGAAGGAGTGAAAGCAGGCACAATGTGAGAAGTACAGGGAAGGAGGGGAAAGGTGGAAAACAGGCGATGGGAGGTAAGAGAGGAGGAAGAGGAACGGAAACACGGGAAAGGGAGACAAGGAGGGAAGGAAAGGAGAAATCGGAGGGGAGAGAAGGCAAGGAGGGAGGGGAGGAGGGGTTGTCACGTTCATGGGAAAGGATGGGGGAGAAAAGGTGAACATGAAGAAAAAAACGAAGACAGACGCAGTTTTTGGCGACTCGGGGAAATACCGAGACGACTTTTGAAACGCCTCAAATAAGCAGCATGACACATTGCCTTCTCTCACCAGCAGTGCTGTTAGCTTCGCCTCCAGCACCCTTATTTGCATCGCCTTCTCAGAAGCTTCCTTCTCTGCCTGCGCAGCCCTCCTCTCAGCCTCCACTGCTCTGTGCTCTGCAGACTGTGAAAATTTGGAGACAGAGAAGGAGGTGGGGACCAAGTGGAGAGGGAGGAGCGAGGAGTGAGGAGAGAGATACAAGAGAGAGGAGAGAGGAGGGACGAGGGAGGAGAGAGGGATGAGCGAGGAGTGCGGAGAGCCTTAGCTGGTTACAAAATCCCTTTGCCGCATCTACCAGCCAAAGACACATACATGTTTGAAAGATCCTTAGTAGAGACCACACACGTACCCCTCCACTGCCTCTACCCATCATCCTGCTGCCACCTAGCCCACCTTCCTCAGCCTCTACCCTACCCCTACCCATTCTGGCTGACTACAACATGCGTGTGCCACTTCTACCACCAAACAACACACACGCCTGTGATATCCCTTGGGGTCAGTGGAGGGATATTCGCTCCAAGCACACACATACCTCCACTGCTTCTGACAGTCGCTCCACGTCTTGTTGGCTCAGAGACGCCTGCCCCATCTCCAGCAGCTCCTGCATCAAATCCTCTGCTTCTTCCTGCTTTGACGGGGTGAGAGGGGGGATAAGGAGGCACACAATAAGGGGGATAAGGAGGCACACAATAAGAGGGATAAGGAGGCACACAATAAGAGGAATAAGGAGGCACACAATAAGGGGGATAAGGAGGCACACAATAAGGGGGATAAGGAGGCACACAATAAGGGGGATAAAGAGGCACACAATAAGGAGGATAAAGAGGCACACAATAAGGGGGATTAGGAGGCACACAAAAAGCGGGATAAGGAGGTTGAAGAGACGCCTGCCCCATCTCCAGCAGCTCTTGCATCAAATCCTCCGCTTCTTCCTGCATTGACGGGTGGAAAGGGGTGATAGGGAAATGATGACAAACCGAGGATTAGGGGAGGTTGGAGACACAACTAGAGCACAAAACACCACCCCCTGCATGTATGTTCCACAAATTGCCTCTGTGAGAGCTACACGTGAGGGCAGTATGACATGGGTGCTATCCCACACAAAAATGACACAAGGGAATCCACTAGCCTGAAGAATTCTCTGGCACTTGAGTTGAGTGTGTGGTGTGCTCATAGAACCTTACCACACTCTGCATTGCACATTTCCACACACTAGTGCACCACACTAAACCGCACTGCCTTCATTGCAGGAGAACCCATACCACTGCACTGAACCACACTGCATAATGCTGCACCGCATTGCACTGCACCGTACCATGCTGTTGGATTCTCTCCACACGGTGCTCTCTGGGATCTCATCAATGCTCTTACTGCAACCACCCATAACGAGGACACACAGTAGGAAGAAAAGTTATGGGAAAGCAAAGGGAGGAGAAGATCCTTGCTGTAGTCAGACCATGCTTCCAGCGTGTTCCTATCATGCTTCTATAGAGCTCCTGCCAAGCTATAATCGTGCTCCCAGCATTCTCCTACCATGTTTCCCAGCCCTCTATCAAGCCCTCCAGATTTCCCACCTGTTGATCTCCCTGCCTGCATCCACTTCCTCCATCTGCTGCTTCAGCCCCTCCTCCTCCGCCTCCCACTTGCTGTTCGTCGCTGGTAGAGATGGGAGGACGGGAAGAAAGGCAGGGGAAGGGCTAAGGAAAGTGTTTGCAAACGCTCCATCTGCTGCTTCAGCCCCTCCTCCTCCGCCTCCCACTTGCTGTTCGTCGCTGGTAAAGCCGGAGGGCGGGAAGAAATCAACGCAGTGAAACGAGCATTTTGGCAAGGAGGGCGCAGGGGTAAAAGAGGAACCGGAAGAAGGCCCCGTCTGCTGCTGGAGCATCCTCCCCTGCCTCCCACTCGCTGCGTGTGGTTACGAGGGATGGGAAAATTCGGGATGAGAAGAAAAACGGTCTAGATTGGGGGTCGCAGACGCAACCAGTGAAGTCTCAGCGGGAAGAGCAGGGGGGGTCTCGACAGAAAGGGGAGATTACTTCATGTGCTGCTCATAATATCCCTCAAGTGGGAGGATAAAGGAGAAAACGAAGAAACACGCCCACTGGTCCCTCCTGCATGCTGCAAAAATCTCAACTAGCAGCTCCTCAATCTCGTAACACACAGGGTTTGTGTTGCGATCAACCTAATCCACAGCATCTTAAAAGCCCCAAAAATACCTCATTTCCAACTGGCCCACAGCCTCATAAACGCCTCATCATGCCCACTTGGCCCCTCCTGCCCCACTATGCTCACCTGCCCCCTCTTGTGTGCTGCGAAAGAGCTCAAAGCGAAGCACCTCGGATTTGGCCAGCTCGTCCCGCAGGCGAGCCACCTCCATCTGAGAGAAGTGCCGGGAGGGGGGGATGATGAACATGGGATGGGGTGATCAGGAGGAAGAAGAGGGGGCGAGGTTAGCCCGCAGGCGAGCCACCTCCTTCTGATAGAGGCGCCGGGACGGAGGGATGAATATGAGATGGTCTGATGGTTACCTGTATCTTGATCGTCCCTGACTCGTCTAAATCTTCCAGCCGCTCCTCCAGCAGCGCCTGCACCATGGCTGGATTCATTTCAGCTGCCCGCTGCGCTGCCCGGCGCTTCCATTCCTCTGCACAGATTCCAGGGGGGTGGAAGGGCAGGCGCGGATGGTACAGGAGCGGGGAGGGTGCGACAAAGCCGACAAACATGGCTCGATTGGTACATCAGTGGCAGAGAATGGCTACATGTGGACGTCGTGGTGCGTCGATGAACTTCAACTCACCGCATCTAGCAGCCATTGATCTTAGCTCAAGCTCCAGCGCTGCTGCATGTGCTTTGGCCTCCTCTAACTGCTTGTCCTGGCAATGGGAGCGTGAGGAGTATGAGATGGGATAAGAAGAAGGACATGAGGAGGGGGGGCATGAGGAGAGACGGGCATGAGGGGGGATTTTAGGAGGAGGGACAATGGCACGCCATTCGAATCACCCACTGCTCTGTTTCGTTCACTCACTTCTGTGCTCGAATCACTCACTGTTGTGTTCGATTCACTCACTGTTGCGTTCGTGTCACCACTTATACTAATGGAGTTCGGTCCACTTACAGCTGGCGTTCGGTTCTTGAGCTGCTCCTGCAGTAGAAGGTCTTCCAACGCATCCCTCTCTTCGCACACCTGCACGTGTTTGTCACTCAAAGGTCAAAACGAGTATACGGGCACGCACTGGTCATTTCTGATGGGGACAACACTAGTATCCCGGCACTCAAATCCTAAGGCCCCTAAAAAATCGCGTGCAGTAGCAGGTCGTCCAGCGTATCCCTCTCCTCGCACACAAGCATTCAGGAACATTATTGTTCTACAGGTCCATACGACATGCAGCATCGGCGCGGGAACAATGCCAAGCCAAGGAGGCGGCACAGGGACAAAGGGTCACAGACTCACTCTCAAGAAAACAAATCAGAAATCAGGTTCCATGGGGGCCAGTAGAGAGGGTTCATGACAGACAGCAGAACAGGTTTGATGAGAAGCAGTAGCGAGGACTCATGTGAAGCATCCATGCCGTACCTGTTGGTAACTCGCTCGGAGCTCCTCCATCTCTCTCTCCAGATCAGCGATTCCCTTGGTCCTGCTGGAGCTCTGTTGGGCGACGCAACGAAACACGCAGAAATGAATGAGTTGGGAGTAACGGACATCGATTACTGGAGGAGGTGAGGGTTACAAAAAGGAATCACATGGAGGGGATAAAGGCTGGATCGGGGAAAAGATGTACCACAATGAAGACTCACCTAAAAAAGTCACGAGGAAGTTGCCTGAGAGACTCCAAGATATGGTATCATGAGACCAGAGAGCCATCCGATGATCGTTTGGGGTAAGAAAACTCGAGAGCTCGTTTTCCAGCAACAATGGCGGCTGTATGTGGAGCTGTGGAACCAAACGATGCCCGTGCATGGTTGATGACTGACCGATGTGGCAGACGAAAAGCGTTTCTGACAGTTATTCAGCTCACTGAGACAATAGCTTGACATGCCACCTAAGTATACCAACTACCGTTGACGACGCCAGACTGTTGAAACGAGCTCGCGACAACAGATGCACTCAGTGGCGACACCAATCGGACTGATGACGCCATCGTCCTGGCTGGTTACTTCACACGATATTGAAGTGACATGTTCGCGAAAGGCTTCGGATTCATTGATTCGTGATCTTGAGGCTATCAAGAACTGGATACCGACGGAACTCAAAGTAGTCAGTCGGTTTCTTTTCCAGGTAAACCAATCAAAGCTTGCCATCAACCATTTTCTGACTGAGCTTACAATTGGGCGGTGCTGGTTTTTTTCCCAGGCCGCCGGTCCACTGAGCATTCCGCGTGTACGACGGCGACGCATCGATGGACTCCGACGCTGACTGAGAGCCGGCGACACCAGGCAGACTGGCTTGTCATCGGGCTGAATGACTTGACGCTGACAGATACGCGGCATCGGCAGACTGGCTTGTTGCAACATCAGCCTGACGACATCAGCTTCATCAGACGCTGACTGAAACGCTGACGACATCAGGCTGACTGACTCCCCCGGCATCAGGTGAATCACCCAAAGCCTGGCATGAACCATTTTCTGACCGAGCTTACATTAGGTGGTGCTGGTTTCTTCCCTAGGCCGCCGGTCCACTGAGCATTCGGCGTGTACGACGGCGACGCATCGATGGACTCCGACGCCGACTGGTACGCCGGCGACATCAGACTCTCCATTGCAGCCTGAAACTCGCTACTACTGCTCTTTATTTTCCGCTTTCCCGACCCTCCATTGGCATCCCCGTTGACCGCCAGGGCGTCGACCAGAGATTCTGACGCCAGCAGACTCCTCGTCGACTCAACGAGGTTGTGAGCCGCTCGATCCGTTCCTGAACGGTCAAGATCCGTCCGGGTATCGCTGCTGTCTGTTCTCCCGACGGAGCTAGAGACGGATTTACTGACAGGGTCTGAGGCTAAGGAAGCGGAAGGGAGTTTGTTCGACGTCAGCTCTTCCAGGATTCGGTCTATGGCGTCAGATGGGGGGGAGTTCATGCTCGAGTTCAAATCAAATACCAATCACCCACTGAGTTTTACTTGGATTAGGGTGAAGCTGGATCAGTACGAAATCACACTGCAATGAAATCTCTAGCTCCCCGGTCCAAGCTGAACTATGAGCACCGATTTGCATTTCAGTAGGAAACAACAGAAAAACTAGCGCTACGACGACAACGGCTTTAGGAAATGTCACCTTTTTTCCTAACTAAAAAAGCCTAGGGGAGCTCTGGTTCTGACAAATGCTAGTGAAAGCTGTGGGAGCTGGAGTGGAGCAGGGTGGAGCAGGAAGGATGCTGCTGCTGAGTGGGGGGTGTGTGTGAGCTTCAGCAGCACATTTCACCATCAAAAAGCTTGGGGACAAAAGCTCTTGCGAATAATATTTTGCTGTCGCGAAGATCGCCATGCCTCAATCGACCAGGACAGACAGGTGGCGAAAGAACGAAACTGTCCTCGCGATTCGTGAATACTGATGGCATGATGCTTGTGACTCCGACAATCTCACTAATGGATGTGCGACATCCATCTTGTCAGGCAACGGTTCTTTTGCGCGGGAAACTGGATTCCACAATCAAGTACCGATTGAAAACGTGTTTTCATGAGACCATGAACTTCCCGTTACAGTTTGCTAGAAATGCTGGTTTCACTACATGTTGGTTTCACATCCTCAAACCCAGCATTGCCCTTCTAAGGATGGTTTGAAGTAATTTAAGAGTAATTGTTTCGCACAGAAAGCATTACTCTATATTGACGCTGTGAATGCTTGCACTAACACTCAACTTCCATAATTTCACCTAAAACACAACCCTAGGAATGTGCTTTAGGAAGCTACAGGACAAGCAGCGGAAAGGCAACACAGCTGCCATGGTGCATTTGTTAGCTAATGCCTTTTGCGTCACCCACACCAGCTCCTACAGCACCACCCGGTGTCCATGAGAAGCTGCTCTCTACATCCCCACTTTCCAGAACCATCAACTGGACAATGAGAGCTGCTATACCTCCACTCCCTCCCTGCTCTCCTAGTCACCCATCCCTGACTGCAGCACAGACAGCACAAGCTCTCACACACACACACTCTCTGATTCCCAGCAATATCAACACCTACAGACTCCCCTCGCCATCCTGTGCTAACCCCACTCTCTCCCACACTTCCTTCCAAACTTCCACTCACTCTCCCACCCACTCTCACACTGACTCTCACCCCCACCTCAACGCCAACAGCAAGATTCCATCCTCCCCCATTCTTCTCCACTTCACATCCTTCTCCTCACCACCACTGCGCCGCAAACAGCACGAGCAAACATGCCCCACCTCACCCAGCCGACCCCGGTAAATCGATTGGCCATTTTCCTCCACTCACACCCTTCTCTCCCCGCATTCCTGCTGGTGCCGTGTGCACTGCTGCAGCAGCGCACTCCCGCAGCACAGGCACAGCACCGGAAACGCACAGCACCAGCAAACTCTCTTCACAAGCACTACCCCAGCTCCTCACAGCCCGTCACCTTTAGCCAATACTTCTGCCTCTCCTGATTCTGCTCTCTCTCCTGTCTGTTGCAAGCAACCAGCCTATGTCTCTTTCTCGACCCGCTCAGTTTCCTCACTCCCACTGCAGCGCAGACAGCACCAGCAGAAACCCCTTCCCAGCCGGTCCCTGAGAGTCGTTGAGAGTGGTTTCTAAATTACTCTTTCCCACGCTCTCACCCACGCTACACACCGAGTCTCACACCCACTGCAGCGCAGACAGCACCAGCAAAAACTCCTTCCCAGCAATATCCACCCGTACCGTCCCTCCCAGCCGGTCCTTGAGAGCCGTTAGATTCACCTCCATTGCCCCCGTGCGAGCCAGCACATTGACAGGGGTCATCTCCACATTGGCCGCCGCTCCTGCCCCTACTCCTGCCCCCCCTGCTGCTGCGGCGGCGGCAGCAGCGACACCAGCAGCAGCGGCAGCAACAGCAGCAGCACCCATCAGGTTGGTGTTGCTGCTGCTGCTGCCAGTGCCGATGCTGCTGCCGCTGCTGCTGGCAGGTATAAGCTTCTCCTGGAGAGGCAGTGTGAAAGAGACTTTCATCATGCCGTAAAACACCTGCCCCACCAGGCCCCCTAACGCAGTGTTGAACACCATCTTAAGTGCTGGAACCTGGACTTGCTCCTTTGGCCCACTCCCTCTTGAATGCGTGTCATGTGCTGCTGCTACCCCCCCTTGTGCTGCCCCTGCCCCTGCTCCTGCTCCTGCCCCTACCCCTGCCCCTCCGACAGCTGCTGTTGCTCCTGCTTGCGAGTCTCTACTCAAGGACGAGTCAAGTGATTGCTGCTGCCCACCTGCCCCGTTACCAGGCGCATGCGTCCCCTCCTGCTGCCCACTGCCCCCTGCTGCTGCTGCTGCTGCTGCTGCTGCTGCTGCTGCTGCTGCTGCTGCTGCTGCTGCTGCTGCTGCTGCTGCTGCTGCTGCTGCTGCTGCTGCTGCTGCTGCTGCTGCTGCTGCTGCTGCTGCTGCTGCTGCTGCTGCTGCTGCTGCTGCTGCTGCTGCTGCTGCTGCTGCTGCTGCTGCTGCTGCTGCTGCTGCTGCTGCTGCTGCTGCTGCTGCTGCTGCTGCTGCTGCTGCTGCTGCTGCTGCTGCTGCTGCTGCTGCTGCTCCAGGTGCCCCATCCCCACAGCCTAAGCCAAGAGTTAGCACCAGGCCTTCTCCCGCTCCTCCAGCAGCAGTGGCACCAGCACCAGCAGCGGCAGCAGCACCTGCCGTATCCGTAGCAGCAGCAGCAGCACTACCACTGATCACACCAGCACCGGCAGAACCAGCAGGACCAGCAGCAGCACCGACAGCAACACTAGCACCACCGCTGGACCCGCTCTGTCCCCCGCCACTCCCCCCCGACCCATGCAACCGCTGCTGCCGCTGCTGCTGCCGCCGCTGGCTCTGCTGCTGCTGCTGCGCCGGCAGCGGCAGCAACATATCCTTATCCAGCACCAATAAGGCCTGCCCCACCCTGTCGGGACAAGCCCGCACCAAGCACGAACCTCTCCCGTCAGTCCTCCGTAAAACCGTCCAATTCACCGCTAGAGACCGCCGAAAGGAGTCCTTATCGAGTGCTTCTATAGAGGGGAAGATGGCGGACGGGTCTGAGAAGGTGTGGTGGGCGAAGGGGACGAGCGCGCGGCCGCCCTCGTACTTGAATGCTTGCGAGAAGACAGGGGAGCCGTGGAAGGAGAGGTCGAAGAAGAACGTGAGATCGTCCAGGTGAAAGGGTAAGGGGGAGGCACGACCTGGCCGGAGGAATCTTTTCCTGATGGGATGGGGATGAGGAAGGGGAGGGAAGGGGGAAAAAGCAAAGAGTGGGGGGAATGGGGAGAAGAATGAAGGGGCGAAGGGGACGAGCGCGCGGCCGCCTTCGTACTTGAATGCTTGTGAGAAGACGGGGGAGCCGTGGAAGGAGAGGTCGAAGGAGAACGTGAGATCGTCCAGGTGAAAGGGCAGCGGTGAGGCCCGGCCGGGGCGGAGGAAACGCTTCCTGAAAGAGGGAGAGGATGGGGGGATGGGGAGGGGGGAGGGAAGTGGAAAAGGGCGAAGAGTGGGGAAAAAGGGGGAGGAAATATGGGGTTTGGTTGGGGGTGGAAGGAAGGGGAGAAGGGGACGAGGGCGCGGCCGCCCTTGTACTTGAAGGCTTGTGAGAAGACGGGCGAGCCGTGGAAGGAAAGGTCGAAGAAGAATGTGAGATCGTCCAGGTGGAAGGGCAGCGGGGAGGCCCGTCCTGGGCGGAGAAATCGCTTTCTGATAGATGGAGAGGGAGAGGGAGAGGGAGAGGGAGAGGGGGAGGGAGAGGGAGAGGGAGAGGGGGAGGGGGAGCGGAAGCGGGAGGGGGAGGGAGAGGGGGGTTCGGAAAGGAAAAAACGCAAAAAGAGGGGGAAAAAAGGGAGAAGAATGTGAGATCGTCCAGGTGAAAGGGCAGCGGGGCGGGGAGGCCCGTCCTGGGCGGAGAAAACGTTTCGTAAAAAAAGAGGAGGTTGGGGGGATGGGGAGTATGGGGGAGGAAGAGGGTGGAGGGCGGGGATGGATGGGGGAGGAAGAGGATGGGGGCTGGGGAGGAAAGGGAAAAGACGAGGGAAGGGGAGGGGAGGGGGAAGAGGGAGACGCCGTTTACCTGTAGAAGAGGTAGAAGCCACAGGAGTCGGACACACGGCAGGCCACAGCAGGGCTGACGAGGGCAGGCCAGAGCACGATGGTGTGGCGGTGGCAGAGAAGAGAAGCAACTGTGTGCAAGTCTACAAACGGCAGCAGCCCCACCTGCACAACCCCTTTGCCTGTAGAAGAGGTAGAAGCCACACGAGTCGGAGACCCGGCGCGCCACAGCAGGGCTGGCGAGGGCAGGCCAGAGAGCGATGGTGTGGCGGTGGCAGAGGGGCTCGCTGCATATGCACGAGATGACTTTTGAGTCGACTCAAAAGTTGCCAGAGGGGCCTGCATGTGTAAGCAGGTCTACAAGCGGCAGTAGTCTCACTTGTAGAACAAATAGAAGCCACACGAGTTGGAGACCCTGCGCGCCACAGCAGGGCTGGCAAGAGCAGGCCAGAGCGCGATGGTGTGGCGGTGCCAGAGGGGCAGAGCACCACGAGAGGCCAACCAAGTCCCAACCTGAGTGCAAGCTCACAAGTGCCAGCAACCCCTTACCTGTAGAAGAGGTAGAAACCGCAGGAATCGGAGACCCGACGAGCCACAGCAGGGCTGGCGAGGGCGGGCCAGAGCGCGATGGTGTGGCGGTGCCACAGAGGCTCGCTGATGGCTGCTGCTCTCCACTCGCGGCACACACACGCTGCTGCTGCCAGGTCCCTTGGGGGGAGGGCGCGGAAGGTGAGCTGGGGGAGGGGAGAGGAAGGGGAGAACAGGGGGTGAGCAGGGGTCGAAAGTGGTCAAAAGGGGTGAACAGGTGCCAGAGGGGCTGGCTGGTGGCTGCTGCTCTCCACTCGCGGCACACACACGCTGCTGCTGCCAGGTCCCTCGAGGGGAGGGCGCGGAAGGTGAGCTGGGGGGGTCGGATGGGGGAGGAGGGGGGAGCAGGAGGGGGGATCAAGGGGAGAACTGTTGTGGCACAATAACACACGCCGCAGCTGCAAGGTCCCTTGGGGTAGGGCGCGGAAGGTGAGCTGGGGGTGGGGAAGAGCAAGAGGGGGGGGAAGAGGGGGGAGCCGGAGCAGGAGCAAAAGGGGAGAACTGGTGTGGCACAATAACACACGCCGCTGCTGTGAGGTCCCTTGGGGAGAGGGCGCGGAAGGTCAGCTGGGGGTGGGGAAGAGGGGGAGAGGGGGAAAGAGGGGGGAGCCGGAGCGGGAGCAAAAGGGGAGGGGAAAAAGGGGACGGAGAGAGCAGAGGGACTCAATAATGGCTGGTGCTGCGAGGTCCCTTTGGGGGAGGGTGCGGAAGGTGAGCTAGGAATGGGGAGAAAGGGAGAGCAACGGTGGTATCTCTAGCACTCCTCTGCTCAGCTCGTTTGTAGCATTCCGCTCTACGGCTTCTACTACTCTACACCCATTCTACTCTAGCTGAACATACCACATATGCAAGATTCAATAACCAGTTGCTTTTCAACGCACTCACCTCTAGAACGGAAGGATGAGATGAAATGTCTGACGACCGACTATTCTTCCTTGTAAACATGTGTCGCGGGGATGGCAGCGGTGGTGCTGCTGCTGTTGTCGGTGTTGCTCCTGCTGCTGCCGCTGCTGCTCCTGCTGCTGCCACTGCTGCTGCTGTTACTGCTCCTCCTCCTGCCCTTCCAGCCCCTCCTGTCGCTGCAGTTGCCATTGCTCCGGCTTGATCTGTGGCGTGTTCCTGAGCAGCAGGTACGGCAGCAGGTACGGCAGCAGGCATGGCAGCAGGTACGGCAGCAACGGCACCTGGAACAATGGCAGCACCTGATGAAACACCTGCGCTTTGACGCCAATACGCCTGACTCTGTTGCTGCTGATGCGCCTGCTGCTGCTGCTGCTGATGCGCCTGGTGCTGCTGCTGCTGCTGTTGCTGCTGCTGCTGATGATGGTGCTGCTGATGCTGCTGCTGACTATGGCCGTTGTGCTGCTGCTGGTTTGCACTAGGGTTTCGATCGACACCTGCACCTGACACGCTGTGACTGAACACGCCCGGGCTTAGGACACTCGAACCTCCTGATTCCCCTCTATTGGAACACGGTATTAAAAGCACCGAATCTAGAAGCATCTCTTCTCCGCCCCCTGCTCCCCTTCCTGCTCCCCCTCCCCCTCCCCCTCCCCCTCCCCCTCTCCCTCCCCCATCCATCCCGCCTGCCCCTTCCCCTGACCGCTTCCGCTCAAACCCTTCCCCCTCCGCGGACGGGACTATGTCAAACGGGAGCGGCGGTGGAGTGGACGGGGGAGCAGGGTAGGGGGAGCCTTGCGCGGGGTAGGGGGAGCCTTGCGCGCGATAGGGGGAGCCTTGTCCGGGGTAGGGGGAGCCTTGCGCGGGATATGGGGAAACTTGTGCGGGGTAGGAGGAGACTAGTGCGGGGTAGGAGGAGACTTGCGCGGGGTAGGGGGAGACTTCTGGGAGCGGAGGGGGCTGAGACGAGGCGGGCGCGGATGGGCGGTGCGGAGGCTGCATGCTTGCTGGGGGGAGGGCGGGGGAAACCCTACACGCGCAATCGTCCGCTGAGTTGCGCGGCTGCAGGCTCGCGGGGTTGGGGTGTTGCACGGAAACAGGGGAGAGGTGCGGCGCAGCAGCGGAGAAGCAGGCGGGCTGCTAAGCGTAAGCCGGAGGAGCGGAAACTTGCGCGACAGCAGGCGCGCGGTTCAGGCTGGGGGAGTGCGAACTGCGGACGCAGGTGGAAAGGGGGTGTGGCGGGAGGAAACCCTAATATTTCTACTCAGGAGCAATTTTGCGGAGAGTCATGGGAACTGGCGGAAGCGGCGGGAGAGAGCGTGGTAATTTTGGCTAAGTGACGTTTCGCAGAATCCGGGATTTTATTTTCAGCAGATCTTGGGGCCGACCGAAATCCCATCCACACCGAAACGTCAAGCGGACCAGCCGAGGAGGCAATTTCCCACGCGCTATAGTCACGGCTGCAATCACACTGCAATCACCACCGAGATTTCTCAACAATCCCTTGGCGATCGACGAAACCAGCCCAGGCCGAGCGAATCGACTAGGCTCGTGCTGCTAGTCATTGAACAACGTCAAACCTCGATATAACCCGATCCGTCTGTAATCGAACTACTGTAGTCTACGAATTTTGAAACTTTAACGAGTTGGCTCGAACCTCCAGACGCCTCTAAGACCGATTATAGCTTGATCCCACGTGATTGCTTCAGTTCTCGACTCGTTCGTAATATCTGCTGTCGCGATTCCGCTGCTTCGAAACGAAACGTCAATTTCGCTACTTATGCCGTTTTCCGCTCCATCCGCTTATTTATTCGATCGAGCATCCGCGGTCCGATTTGCGCGTGATGCGATCGTAGATATTCGGAAGCGGATCCGAGGGTCCTGAAGGCACCAGGGAGGAGAAGATCAGGCACAACGAATTAGGTCGTATCACGTGGCTGCTGATTGAAAAGGCAAGCCAACGAATTAGTCGACGAGAAGGGGAGAAAGATAGAATGGAGATACTGGCGAGCGGGGTGGGCATGGGGGGAGGGAAGGCAAGTGAGAAGGGGGGGATGATCGGATTTGCGAGCAGGAAAGTTGGAAGGTTAAGACCTCGATTACTAGAGAGAAGGAGCCTTTCAAGGCGCTTCCAACGCACCGTTGAGCGCGGATTTCGACTCGATTAGAGCAGTGTCGCGCGTCGAAAGGGGCGCTAGAAACTGAACGAGGGCATATGCGACGAGAATGACGCGAGACAAAGGGACAGCCGCGGAGTTGACATGAGCGCTACGCGAGCCGCGAGTGAGCTGCGTAGGTTAGGGTTTCGTGTTGCGGGTGACCCAGCTCGTTCGTTAGGCTTCTCCGAAAACAGAGAGTACACAACGCGCGAAATGTCAGCTCATCACTTCGATCCAAAGATAAGCTAAAATATTGCTAACGGAACCGGGGATGGGGGGGGATGGGAGAACGAGGAAGATACGATATTGAGCGGATCGACAGACCTCGTCGGTGCCTGAACGTGTCGCGCGGCTCGTAGCAGAAAGACACGATGGGGAAGCAATAGACCCATCAGGAGCGGGCTCGAACATGACGAGGAATGACACGAGAGAATGATTGGAACTCGGGCAGGTGAGGGGAGAGACTCAGCGACGCCAACCCAGCCCACCAGCCCCGCGGGGCTGTTCTGATAATCGAAATGGACATGCCGATTCCGGGAAGCGGTTGCGACGAAAGATGGGGTTCATCCGACATTGGCACCCAGCGATGATAACTTCGACTATCAAGAAGCTCTCATTCGAGCACGCCCACGCAGATACTTGTTATAAACGACGAAAGACTAGGTCCGTCGCCCGACGATTACCGTGATTCGAGGGTTTATATTATCGATCACTTACATTATCGATCGCTTACATTATCGAGCACCGCTGCTGCCGATCTCCCTCATGGTGGCCGGCACCAGCCGCTGCTGGCCGTCTTGATCACCAGTGCCGGCGAAGCGAAGGCGTGACGCGGCCTGACTAGGAGTTGCAAGAAGGTTTTGACGACGATGCGACGAGGAGGGTTGATAAGGTTCTGATGAGAGCGACTGGGGGGTCCAATGGTCCTGGAGGTGCGGTTAGTGCCACTCTGAATTTAGAACACTCGAATCGAGTAACCTCGGCAATGGGGCGTGAGGGGAGGTCCAAAGGGGATTGGAGTTGCATGCAACCTCGGTGGGTACCAGAATTAGTACAGTAAAGACCAGTTTGACTGTGCGCCGACAGGTTGTACTAATGGCGTCGACCTGTGACGCATGCGACGAGCGGAGCAAGAAGCAAAGCGACGAGGACAATGCGCGCACCTGGAAGTAATTACAAAAAGCAAGCAGTGCTGCTGCCAGTATGTTACATTTGAAAGAACTCGTGTTTTATATCTCCCTTGCTGTCAGCATCTCAGTGCCAGGAAAAGCGGAAATGGTGACAGACAGTTTCTAATGGTGTGTGCGCTTGATTGCTTTGCTTCGTTTGCGATCCAGCTTCGCTTGTGGGAAGTTCGGAAGGCAGGAGGCAATCTCATCACATGATCTCATCCTGTCATCAGTTTCGTTTTGGTCCCTCCCTCCAACGTCCGCTGCAACGTCAAGCATTCAGACTACGGGACTGCCTGCCATGCCAACAAGCAAGGAGACTTGCGCACCGCGCAGCGAAGAACGAGGACAGCACTTCCTAATTTTTTCTGGGTTGGAGTGGGGTGGAGTGGAGTGGAGCACGAGTTTTGTGCAGTGACGTGCTGTAAAGCAAGAAATGTGGATTTCTATGCAGCAATGTAAATGAGTGGAGTAGTTTGAAGTGGAGTTCAGTGCGGTGCAGGAGCACCGTACCATTAGGAGCTGGAAAGGAACAGCAGCAACTGAATTCACTGTTTTCCGAAATCAGCTGAGAAGCAGTAACGAAGTGCAGGCTGTGCATCTTTCTTGCCAATGGCCAGGCTGACCCATTGACTCTCCAGGCCAATCAGATAGAGCTGATGGTTTTTTAGTACGACAACTTGGCCTACCTGGAATCATTTGAATGATTCTTCTGGTCTGATCGGGCAAAAAATATGGTACCCAGTTGATGATTCCGTCGAATATATCTCAGCGGACAAGCGAGTCCGCCCGGGGGAGTTCGCTGCCCGCGGGCAAAAAAAAATAAAACCCATTCGGGCATGCATCCGGTCAGGGAGGCATCAACCCTAAACACAGGGAGGCATGGATTTAGGGTTGATGCCTCCCTCGGATGGCATGCCATCCAATAGGGTTTTAGTTTTTTTCTGCCCGGGGCAGCATGTCGTCAAGTCGTCAACAGGTCGTCAGGCTTGACGACCCGTTTCCGCTGAGATATTCCGATTTTCCTGTGCACTGTACCGCATTAGGCTCGCTGACACCTTCTTTTCTAATTAGAACTCTCTTTGCATTATTTGGAAACTGTAATCACACTCCTCTAACGGCGATTGACCAGCCGTGACGAATCATATTCCCGAGTCAACGAAGGTTTCTTGCGGTTGCTAAAGCCGCTTGGACCGATATGGGCACGAATCAGCCGGTCCAGATGCATGCAGGATCAACCTAGAAAGTCCAAACGGCAGGAGGTTGGAAACGGTTGCCAAACCGAATACAACCGACTGCAGCGAGGATGCGCGGAGGTTACATGCGGTTGCTCAAGCCGCATGTGGGAACGGAATAACTGTCTATCAGAATAGTCAGATCCCGTAGTATAAGAGTAGAGCCATTATGAGAAATGATAATCATTCAATGGTTCGCTTTCCGCTGCTGCTCTGGATCTCCCTGTTGATATTATAAGGGATTCTGCCATCAACCCCTGTGCACCTAACAATAGCTGACCGGTGCTGGTCCAGATAGACGATGAAGCCTATGATGTAGAGGACTCTCCTCTACTTTGCAAGAACTGGGAAGTGTTCTAAGCAGTAGAGCACTCTGCTAGCTTTCCAACGAGCCGTAGATCACCTCGATCGCCTAAGTATCGAGCGAGATATCGCCGTTTATGTGCTAGGTAGTGCTCTTAGATTGAAGGATAGGAGCTCTCTGGAATTTGTGTTCGAATGTACCTTGTACAAAGAACTCTGAGTTTCACTATGATGGCATGCAATACAAAGAAAACAGATTTATAGCATGCAAACAAGATCGAATCGCACAAGTAACCTCGAACCGCTACACTCGCGAATGTTCGAGTAACATCGAAAGGGTGAAATTCGACTCTCGAATTTCACCGATCCAAATTCTCCTTGGGTCTCGAATGTTCCTGGTGCTGCCATGTGGCACCGAATCGAATGGGTCTTCCGAAGTCAATCCTCAACCCCACGCAAACCTGCAACTCACTCGAAGGTGAGCACAAGTCACACATTCGGTGGGTTGGGGGCATACAAACGCCCCACCACCACCTTGCTTCCAACACACGCAATCTCCAACAGCCTATTCCCCAGTGAGGGATCCCTCTTGAGTTAGGGGCTGGACGGCTAAGATCCGTGGCGGGACAGCCGGACCCAGGCTGAGGCGTTAGGTCATACCCGGGTCAGACGTGGTCGGATTCCCCATCTGTCAACGTGGACGCATATCGGCGGGCATACGCAACAGACCAAGAAAAGAGAAAAATATCGCTTTTCCGATGTTACACTCCAAACTTCTTCAATCCAATGTAAATGCGACCAGCACGACTTGTACGAAATGAAGAGCGCTTGGTTCAAGAACGGGCAAGCATCGATGTCAAATTCACTCGAGAGGAGGCAAGCAGATGGTAATCAAGAAGATCTGACACCAACAGATGCAAATGACACAACACGTGAAAAAACAGCCTCTAATGGTTTGCAGGGCGATTGGGTGATTACTTCCGTTGTCTGCCAAACCTAGTTGGGTAACCAGGTGTTGCTGGACAGGATGCCGCATGGTGCGTGGGTGGGACGGTATCCCCAACCACACAACAGCATGCTAGCGTGCAACCACAACTCGCTTTATTGAACTGCTACTGTGTGATCGCCACTCGGAA